ATCTTGGTGACGCAAGTCCCGTGTGCTTCTTTGCCTGGCCAACCAAATAGAGCTGCTGCTTTCGCTTTCACCCGGTTCGTGTCTCTATGGCTGCGCCGAGCAGACCTGAAACAGTCTGGTTACAGAGGCAAAAATCCAAATCAGGATCTTGGCCATGGTGATTCTTTCCTGGTCATGAGCAGTCCTGGTCCTGGCCATTCCTTGCTTCCTTGGTGATCCTCACATGGCATCTGTCTTCCTAAGCATGTGCTGGCTTGCTCTGTGTCTGATCTGCTCTTTTTTATAACTCAGAAGTGATTAGGTTCAGGATACCCGCTGTACTGGTATGGTCTCATTAACATAGCAAAGAAAATGATTTTTCTAAATAGGATTATATCCACAGGAGTAGGGGTTAGGATTCCAACACATTTTGGGGAGGACAAGATTCAATCCATAACACAAGGCCTGTCTTTCTTTAAGGCTGAGTCTCTGGGTCAGTTAGCAATTTTCCACAAAAATGATTTCTTTCTCTATAAAACAGTGGATGGTTCTGAATTATCACCTTGTAGAAAACTCACAGGGACTCTCTTCCCTTGACATTTCTGTTTTCATTTCTTAGACTCAAGGGGTTCTTGAAGTTCAGCCATGAGAGCTTGTCTGATAGGTAGGGAAACACTCCATTTGATGAGGTTCAACATCTCCAATAACAGTTGGCAATTCTTGCTAGGTGATCTAATCTTTGGTTTACTTGGAGAATGCTGTGATTTCCTGCTTGAACTAGCCAAAGGACCGGATCATATGGTGGCTTTTATTTAACTATTGGTTCAAATTTTTGACAGTTGCATGCAACTGACTTGCATCAAGGACACCCAGACTCATTAATGGTGTCCATCACCCCTTGTGGAGTGGGGCAACGAGTGAGTAAACTACATTTTACTGAAGGTGCTATCAGGTGCTGGGCACTTGCCAGCCCTTCTTGTTAATCTTCATAATAGTTCTGCAAAGTTGCTATTGTTCCTAATAAAAGATGAAGACCTTAAGGCTCGGCAATATTAAGTAATTTGCCCAGGCGTTCATGGCTGGTAAGCAGTGGTTTGGAATCCAGATCTGATTCTAGTGCCCTTGCTGTACCTGACCTATAGCTAACACACCTCTGTGGTGTAAGAACAAGTCCAGTGAAACTGTTTACAGCCTGCATTTCTGTAGTACTTTATGTTTTTCAAGATAATGTCACATCTAGTCTTCCATTTGTACCTTACAATACCCTGCTTTGCAGAGAAGCAACTTGTTGATCTAGGGAGTGGTTTACCTGGAGTTTCACAGATACTCAGCTCATCTAGTCAACTTACTTTGTCAATAGTTGTAGTTTTAATGCAAATATGTGTACTGTAGTCTTTTTAAACTATAAGTCACATTTCCAGGGCTAGAAGAGATTTTCATTTGTATAACTAAATGTTCCATTCAGTACCGATTTATTCCTGGATTGAGACAGGTCCAGACTCTTCCAGTCCCCAAATCCCATGAAAACCAAATAAGTTTTTTTTAGAACAGAGAAATAAAAAGGTATGTTTCCTAGGGAGTTCCTGGCTGATGAAAATGGTTAACATGCTCAGCTGCTGAAAGGTTGGAGGTTCGAGTCCACCCAGAGGCAACTCAGAAGAAAGACCTGGCAATCTACTTCTGGAAAATCAGCCATTGAAAATCCTATGGGGCACAGTTCTACTCTGAAACATCTGGGGTCACAGTGAGCCAGAACTGAATCCACAGCAACTAATTTTTCTTTTTTTTAAGGCTTGTGAATTTCATTAACCCTTCTCTGTGATTTCAATTGGGCACCTTCATTTCCCCTAGCACTGGGCTCGTGGAATAGTGTATATTTTCATGATTATTTCGATACTATGGAAAATGATGGGCTCTAAAATTCTGATTGAAATTATCTGGACATCCTGTAAAGGCTACACAGACTTAAAATCCATAACTTAGTCTGATGTTTTTATTTTCTTTAGGGGTGTCTGGTTTATTTCTTTCCCCTTCAATTGTTTTTACTTTACCAAGACGCTCAGTAACTTGGAGGTGATTTTGCATTCCAGCTTAGTTTTCCTATTTCCAAAACCCTGAGAAAAGGCAACCTGACATTCCAAAGCTCATCTAAAACAAATTACAAAAGAATGGAAAGAAAAGTGTTTCCTCTGAAAGTAATAGGGAGGTTTTGTGATGAGGAGAGAGAATACAAAGCTAGAATACAAAGCTCCATTGAGTAAGTCCCGTAAGAGCTGATTGGAGTCAGTGTGTGCTTTGAGGTCTTGAGGTCAAGCTTCAATCTCCCAATTTCTTTCTGCTTTCAGTGTCTAGTAATTAGCTATAGAAAGAAAAAAGCAAAAAAATATTCTCCTTCACTTAAAAAGTATTGCTAGGGTATCCTTTTACTCTTCGGAAGGATAAAACTAGTATCTTCTGGACGTTGCATTGTTCTTGGTGCACGGAGGAAATGGTTCTGTTTGTATGGAATGCAGGACTGGAAAAAAAAAGAAAGAAAGAAAAGCCCAAAACCAATTGGCATGGAGTCGATTCTGACACATGGAGACCCCATGTGTCTCAGAGTAGAACTGTGCTCCAATGGAGTTTTCAATGGCTGGTTTTTTGGAACTAGGTTGTCAGGTCTTTCTTCCTAGGTGTCTCTGGGTGTACTAGAACCACCGGACTTCAGTAGCCGAGCATGTTAACTGTTTGCACCACCCAGGGACTCCAAGACACTGCAGCAATTCTGAGTTCTTCCAGAAAACGGTCTGGCTAAACCCCCAAGGCTCTAGCAATTAGCCCAGCCAGACTAAGTGGTTGACACCAGGCGCTAAGGTCTTATAAAGGCCCATGCTTTCTTCCCCATGGATCTTGGCAAACTATAAAGTAAATGCTCATCTTAAGCCCCCTTCTACTCCCTTTCAGTGTCTTCTACCCTCTTGGCCTTATTTTTAACTTGGATTTTTACAACATGTAGAGAATGTGACAGACACTGGTAATGGTTTATGAAGATCTGTTTCTTTTTTCTTCTTGGTATCAATGAGACAATGTTTCCTAGCCTCCTTTGACTTTTGATGGGCAGGTCAGGCATGTGACCAAGTTCAACTAATGGAATATGGGAAGAAATGATGTCCTTAACTTCCAGACCTTCCCCAGGCACATAATGATTAGCTGTTTCTAACTGGCAGTGGGCGACTAAGAAATAGACAACTAAGTTTACTGGAACAGCATCAAAATTAAGAGGAAGAAGGCTCTGAGTTAGAACTCTCCAGTAAGTAGTCCATGAACTTTAAGATGTGGCTGTTATGCTTATATTTGGCATAAGCTGTGGTAGACTGAATAATGGTCCCCCCAAAATGCCCACTTCCTAATCTGCAGAACCTGTGAATATAGTAATATACATGCAAAACAGACTCTGCAGATATGATTAAGTTAAGAATCTTGAAATGGGGAGTTTATCCTGGATTATCCATGTAAGCCCAATGTAATCACAAAAGTCCTCATAAGAAGGAGGCAGAGGGGTATTTGACGACTAGAGAAGTGTCAGGGTGATGCAGTATAAGGAAGACTTGAACAGTCATGGATGGCTTTGAAAATGGAGGAAATGGTCATGATCCAGGAATGCAGGCAGCCTCTAGACGCTGGAAAACGCAAGGGAACAGATTCTCCCCTAGAGCCTCCAGAAGGAACACAGCCCTGCCGACACCTTGATTTCAGCCTGGTGAAAGTGACTTGGGATTTCAGACCTCCAGAACTGTAAGATAATAAGTAGGCATTGTTTTATGCCACTAAATTTGTGGTAATTTGTTACAGCAGCAATAGGAAACTAATACATAAGTCTTTTTTTTTTTTCCTAGCTCTCCTTTATATTTCCCTTTCTGTTACTTCTAAGCCATTTTGTGTAAATGAGATTCTCCTATGAATAATAACAATAAACTTGAAAACATTATGCTAAGTGAAATAAGCCACGAACAAAGGAACCAATATTGTATTATCCTACTTGTAGGAAATAACTGGAATAGGTAAATCCACTGAGACAAAAGAAGATTGGTGGTTACCAGGTTTCTTGGTTACCTAGTGCTGCCATAGAACAAATATCACAAGTGGGCGGCTTTAACGAACAGAAATTTATTTTCTCACAGTTCAGGAGGCTGGAAGCCTAAATCTAGGGTGTGGCTCTAGGGGAGGTCCTTCCTTGTCTACCTCAGCTTCTAGTAGCTGCAGGCGATCCTTGTCGATGCACCTGTTTCCATTGTCTGTCTTCCTCTTCTCCCTATGTGTGTCTCTGTTCCATTCTGCTCTTTTAATAACCAGAAGTGATTAGATTTAGAACCCACACTACTGGGAATGATCTAATCAACATAACAATGAAAATCTTGTTTCCAAACAGGATTACATCCACAGGTATAGATGTCAGGATTCCAGCACATATTTTGGGGGGACACAATTTAAACCATAACACCAGGGAATAGGGGAGGGAGGGATAGGAAAAAAAATTATCATAGTGTCCACTTAAAATTGGTAAGTTGTACTTTATGTGAATTATTCCTCAATAAATATTTTAAAGAATAGGAATAACAATAGATAACATGTATTGAGCGCTAACTCCGGGCAAACTATTATACCTATCATTTTCCAGTCATTATATCAGTTAATCTTCCATACAAGCCCATCAGATAGGTCAGATTATTAATTTCCTGCTTCTGGAAAATGAAAGTAAGTCTAAGAGAGATTATGTAACTTGTCTAAGGTCACAGAGCTTATGATTGCTATAGGCAAGTAGTCTAACACCAAAGTTCATGCTTTTAACCGCATGTAACACATGTCTGCTTTATCTCCATGTATGGGGCTGTATGTGGATATAACCATACACACTCAGAAACTAAGCTCTAAAAGCTCTGTTAAAACTTGATTTAGAGAAGTATTAGCAGAAATAAAGTAATAATAAAACATCATTTTAATACATACCATTTAGAATATGTATTCACATCTTCTTAGGCAAAAAGGGCCGATTTTATACTCATGTGTAGCTAAGATTTAACCATCCACCAATAAATTACATCAGGTTGGAGCAATTTTATCCCAGTAGTTAGTTTCTTCCATCAGGCCTGTGCTCTGTAAAATAAGTGCAGTAAAAATTGTAAGTCTCCCTCATTGTATTATAGCAGGCCATAATGGGCTAAAATTATGCAGAGCACTTAAATCTTCGCATACAACTTATTAGGTCATTTTCAATAACCTTACTTTATTCAAGAAATGTTAAGACTTACCCAGCTGGAAAATCATTCAGATGTGAGAGATATTCTATGGGACCACAGTGATTTTTACCTTTCTAAATTAGAGACGCCAGTACTGATGTTCAGAAGAAAGTAGAACACCATCTTGTATTTCCTAGTGTTACGTACTGCACTTATTTCACGTGAGGACAACTATGAACTAAAGGTGAAAGGCCCAACTCACCACATGTGTGTCGTTGGGATAGACCTACTCTGCGTCTGATCTCTTCATTTATAAAGTCAGGCAGCATTTCTGTCCTATCATCCAACAGGCTTTTTGTGAAGGCTGAGCTGGGTCACATGTGACGGTACTTAGAACCCTGAAGTTATATTGAAATGAAAAAGAATTATCATGGATTTTTTATTATAATAGAATACACAAAATTCTTAGCCATTAAAATCTGAATTTTCAAAATAGTATTGTGAAGTGGTCAGGAAAAGGGAAACCGAAACTGAAAACTGCTTGGTTTTAGGAAGTTTCCGTTTAAGAAGATGGAGATTCTTTGTTCTGCTGAGAGCCTAGAAGAAGAAGCAGTATAAAGCTGCTTAATCTCTACCTGTCTTAAACATCTAGCGCTGCTATAACAAATACCACAAGCAGATGGCTTTAACAAACATGAGTTTATTCTCTCACAGTTTAGGAGGCTAGAAGTCCGAATTTGGGGTGCCTGCTCCTGGGGAAGGCTTTCTGTCTCTGTTGGCTCTAGGGGAAGATCCTTGTCACCAATCTTTCCCTGGCCTAGGAGCTTCTCAATGCAGGAAACCCAGGTCCAAAGCTCCTGGCGCTTCTTTCTTGGTGGCTTGAGGTCATCCTCTCTCTGCTTGCTTCTCTCTCCTTTTATCTCTTGTAAGATAAAAGGTGATGTAAGCCACATCCCAGGAAAACTCCCCTTACATGGGGTCAGGGCTGTGACCTGAGTAATCCTCTTTAGCATAACCTAATCTTGCCTCATTAATCACAGGCAGAGATTAGCATTTACAACACATAGGAAAATTACTCAGATCACAAAATAGAGGACAACCACACAATACTGGAAATCCTGGCCTAGCTAAATTGACACATATTTTTGGGGGGTACAATACAATCCATGACATTACCTGAGTCTTTATTTACATCTGGCTCACCCTTGTGACCTGCTGGATTTCTTGGTCCTACCCATGTTTTAAAATAAGGAAAGGGCTAGATGATTACATATACTTTAAATGCCCGTGCCATCTCCTCCCAAGACCAAAAGATTCTCAAAGTATCTCACTGACCCCTTCAGAGAATCCTTAGGACACACAGAGTCAGAGGACAGGTTTCCTCTTAGCTCTCCTGGGCTGATTTCCAGCATCTGCTCAGGGCGAGATAATTGCCTACCATCTGGGTTCAGGAAGGTGCAAGAACTGAAGTAGACTATGTAGTTCTCCACTGCAACCCCAATACCTAAAGCAGGGCCTGGCATGAGGCAGGCAATGAGTAAATGCTTATCAAATATCAAATGAAAACAGAGGCCGCTATCTGAGATTGATATACAACAAAATCAAACAGGGTGCAAGATAATCACAGCAGGAGAAAGGAGAAAAAGAAATTACTACAGAAACTGTCTGCCCCCTGCTGTATTTATCGTTCTCACACAATGAATTAGCAATAAAAATTATGCAGGCAGAAATATGTAATGTTGAATACAATTTAAAGGTCCATGGGGCAATGAAGATATTTACCAAAAAGATTTACCCAGAAGAATTTACCAAACTTAATTGAACTAAGCCAGACTGCCTGGATCCAAAGCCTAGCTCCATCGTTTACAAGCTATATGGACAGTCAAATTCCTTACCTTCTCTGTGCTTCAGCTTCCTCATTTGTAAAATGGGGCTAATAATAGAAATTCTATCCCTAAAGATGTTACAAGTATTAAATGAGTCGATACACAAAAAAACTTATAACAGTGCCTGAAATTTATTACTCACTATATAGATATTTGAGCCCTTGGTAGCACAGTGGTTAAGAGCTATGGCTGCTAACCAAAAAGGTCAGCAGTTTGACTCCACCAGCTGATCCTTGGAAACCCTATGAAGCAGTTCTGCTCTGTCCTGTAGGGTCGCTCTGAGTTGGGATCAGCTGGACAGCAGTGGGTTTTTTGGTATGTAGATATTTGCTAATATTTTTCAGTGGTGCAGTGGTTAAGCCCTTGGCTGCTAACCTAAAGGTCAGCAGTTCGAACCCACCAGTTGCTCCACTGCCTTTGTGGATACATGATTTGAGGCTTGGGGTCCACTGGGGCGTATTAGGGCCCCTGAGCTGGGACTGGGGCTGGGGGGTAGGAACTCCATTTATACTCAGTGCTAAGAATATTTGCAAAGAGTCAAGATAAAACATAAATCTTCACCTGTCCTCCCCAAACTCTTTTCATTCCTCCCCTGGGGAAGGAAGAGGCTCTTTCTTTCTCTATCCCTCTGAGTAGTGGAAGATTGAAGTACAGCTGATTCAAAGTAGGTTCGCGCTCAACTATTAGTAACCTAAGGGTTGGCAGTTCCAGTCTACCCAGAAGCACCTCCAAAGAAAGGCCTTGACAGACTTACTTCTGCAAGACGACAACCTTGAAAACCCTGTGGAGCACAGTTCTACTCTGACTCACATAAGGTCGCCATGAGTTACAGTCAGCTCTATGGCAACTGGTGTTTTGATCATATTTTAGGTTCTTCTCAGCTGCTGTTTTTTCTCCTATTAAATTGTAAAACCCCTCTCACTTCCCTCTGCAGGGTTCTGCCTTACACTCGTTCCATTTGTACTCTACCTACCCATCTCCTTCCTGAACCCCTCTGGGCTGGGTTTCCTTGGCAAAGCAGCAGAAATGAGAACTGCCTGAAAGGTGGAAGCTTCCTTGTCACACTCAGGGTGCACAAGCATCTCTCAGAACTAGGTAACTGAGTTCTATGCACCCCAGTATTTGGGAAGGACAGCTTCTCTCGGGTCACACCCACATGTGTCCTCTCTGCTCATCCATTAACACTGCAATGCATCTTAACTTTCCTAGAAACCACCTCCTGAGAAACAAACATCCCGATGCTACTTTCTCTGGACAAACGATTGCTTCTAGCATCATCTGTCATGGAAAGATACTTTCAAATGTTAATAAATTGGTTCATTTATACAAAAAGGTCAATATTAGAAAATGTCTTCCCCCTGTGTCTCTTCTACACTGTAACGTAATGTTCTATATTTGCAGTGAGCTCTCTGTGACATCAACGCAGGGAATAAATGGGTATAGAGTGAAATGATTATGAGAAAAGGCAAAAATAATTCTGCCACTGGTGCTGACTTTTTTTTCTGGTCTATTTTTTGTTTGTTTAATAAAGCATCTAAAGCAAGAAATTAAAAAAATAATGATAGGATAAAGGTCAGTTTACATCTAGTGGATCAACAGTAGCCATAAATCTAAATTTAATTTTATATTTAATAAAACCCTCTATATTCCCTGCATTAGAGTCCAGGAAACTGATTTGCTTCATCCAGATTGCTTTTCCTGCACATTAAGCTGAATATTGTATCTAATCATCTGCTTTGGTGCCTTCCAAATATACTCAACTTAAAACCTGCTGCAGAATCGGTCCAGTTGATAAATCTTGTTATCCTTTTCATATGATTTATCTACCTTTTTTTACATTATTCTTAATTATCTTTGCTGCCTTGTAATTTATAACTCGGGTCACCTAAAAAGTATAAGTCATTGTTTGATTTAGCTTCACTCTCACGTTTCTGACAGCGTGCTTTAGCTTCAGAAAGTATGAGTTTCATGCTATGCCTCTGTGTTTAACAGTTCTTTGAAGTAAAAACAAGATGTGCTAAGAGCTTGTTCCAGTATATGAGGAAAGAGAGCTGGGACAGGGATGGGTGGTAGAGTGGTGGGCAGAACTGTGGCTGGAGTAAAAGTGGTAATTGAGTTTGTACCAAAGATTTTGAAATACCAACTCCATAGCAACTGGTTTGATTTTGGGTTTTTTTTTTTTAATGTCAATACATAACAGCTGAATGGTATTCCACTCCATCACCATACCAGCCTTTAAAAAAAAACCAATCTCTTAAATAGTGCATATAGGTTTATTCCTTTTGTAGTTTTAACAAGTTAGCAATAACTATTCTCGTACATACATCTTTGTAAGTTTATACAATTATTTCCTTAGAATTAATTACTAGAGGAGCAATTGCTTAAATTAATAAGAATGTACACACCACATTATGATGCATACAGTCAGTCAGCTTTCCAGAGTACACTTCCACCAAAAGTATGTGAGAACTCATTTCCTGCACCCTTACCAGCCCTGGGCATTGTGACTCCTTTTGCTCTTGCTCTTTTTTAATATGATAGGAGACTAATGGTATTACTATTTTACTTTCATTTCTTTAATTACAAACTTTTATTTGGATTTCTTCTTTTGTGAATTTTTAAAATTATGTCAGGCTCATGTCAGGACTCTTTTGCAATTACCAGTTAACTACCTCAAATTGGTTTAAAACCAACCAACCAACCAAAATGGGATGTATTGGCTCGCTCAGCTAGGTGGACATTGGGTGTCTCAGGAAACTGAAGGAAGATCTGCAGGAACTCAAGTCTCATGGACTGGGTGAGGACATCAGCTGTCATGGATTGAATTATGTCCCCCCAAAAATGTGTGTATCAATTTGGCCGGGCCATGATTCCTGGTATTGTGTGGTTTTCCTATATGTTGTAAATCCTGCTTCTATGATGTTAATGAGGGAGGATGGGTGGCAGTTGTGTTAGTAAGGTAGGACTCAGTCTACAAGATTGGATTGTACCCTGAGGCAATGTCTTGAGATATAAAAGACAGAAGTGAGCG